TACCAAAGCGGCTCCAGGAGCCTGAAAACCCGTATGCCTCCGACACCGGTGTTCTAGTGCTCACGCTTGTTGCTGTCATCAGAAAAAAAACAAACCTATTTCTACGTATAGATGGAAGTCCTAATTAATTTCCTATGTATTCGTTTGTAAATTAAGGGAAGATTTGTGTTAAGATACTTTTTGCAAATGCACGCTATGATTGGGACCTAAGGGAGTGCCCAGTTAGATCATGACTCCTTTGTAGTCCTTACAAATGCATAATATTTGAGATAATTTCTGCTTGAAAAATCAGGATATTTTTTCCCTTCCCCTCCCCCCTTGAATTGCTACCAACCCTCCCTGCCCCCCCATCTATCTTCTTTTACCTTGAGGATCTCCACAGGCCCGTGCCGACTATACTCACTAACTGTGCTTGCCAGTGTGCTACGTAAGCACCACGCTCAAAGATGAAGACTAAGCAGTTGGGGGAAAACTACATATAAAACTGAGAAAGGTTTCGTGGTTGCATGTTGGAAATTCTTACCTGTAGAAGGAAGCACTGTGTGCGAACAGAAATTTAGTTTCAAGCAGCTGTGTGAGTGAGGTTATCACTGAACACTCAGTTGATCTTAAGAGTTGATAGACTCTTTAGATCTTGACGTATAAATGCTTTCATCTGTATAGCAGGCCACTAGGTTTTAGGATATGTTATTGTAGCCTAAACATCTTATTTTTACTTTTCTGAAGGAATACCTATTACCAGTGCATCGTATTTTGCCACCATGACGCTTGACCAAGTTAGGCATGTGTTTCGCTCTGACACAGAAGTGCCCATACCTTTGATTGAAGAAAGACATCAGGTGCTGAATGAAAGTGGAACAGTTCTTTTAGAGAAGTTTGGAGGCTCTTTCCTCACCTGTGTTAAAATGAGTGAGAAAAATGCTCAGAAACTACTACATCTAATACTGGAAAATTTTCCTTCTTACAGAGATGAAGCTGTATTTGAGGTAAGGTAGTTCTAACATTTACTTTCTTGTGATAAGAATTTACTCTTTACTCATTGTGACTTTGAAAGATAACTCTTGTCTATGTAAATTTTTCTGAGAGGATAGTTCAGAATTGGTCTAATATTTGTGAATTGTTGGGGTTTTTAATCCGGGAAATGGAAAATGAACAGAAATGTTTCTGTGGAACTCAGTGTATTCAAAAGTAAAATTCAAGAGAAATAAGAAGGAAAATTACTATTATTTAAATATTTTTGCCTCAAATCAGTGAAGATACTGGTCTGTATAATGAAAGGAAAATAAGACTTTAGAGCAGTTGATCTTAATTATGTAAATTGCTATGAGTCATACGGACAGGGAATAAGGTTTTTTAAATAATACTCTTGCGCCACAGTATACTTTCTTTGTTAAGATGGGGTAAAATAATTGAGATTTCATTTCTCTATCAGTCTAAACCTCTGAAAACAAAATCACGCAATTTATTAACAGTAAAGAATCTTGATTTTTCTTAAGTTCTTAACTAGTCAGGAATGTATGGCAAGAGTCACCTTTTTCCCCAGAGGAGAGCCATTTTTTTCATACGCTGTCTCTGTCTTCATCACTTTGTTGTAATTTATTTTGATACACTCCAAGTTCCCAGTTAGATCACGACTCCTTTGTAGTCCTTACAAATGCATAATATTTGAGATAATTTCTGCTTGAAAAATCAGGATATTTTTTCCCTTCCCCCCCCGCCTTGAATTGCTACCAACCCTCCCTGCCCCCCCATCTATCTTCTTTTACCTTGAGGATCTCCACAGCTTATGAAGGAAACGAAACTCTGGTAGAACTGTGAAAATGTACAACAACTGGGAATCCACGCTATAATTGTTGTTAATGCAACAGGCATTGCACAAATGACTACAGGCCAGAATAAACCCATAGTTTTGTCAGGGTTGACAATGTACTGAAGCTTTTTGGAACCGTTTTCCTGAGACAAACTGATGGGAAGTAAACAAAGACTATCTGGTATTGTCTGTGTCTCTGGTTTTGCCTATACAGGCATGATCTTTATTTAGCATCAGTGACATGTAGCTGCTCCTATGCTCAGTTCCATCTGCAGTAGTATTGAACTGTTACATCATTATGTCCAAAAGACTTTATTCTAGTGACAGTGCAATCTATACTAATAGTCTGTGCAGTCTTTTCAAGGTAACTTCCCGGAACACCAGTCACTGGAGCTTTCAACCTATTGCATTTATCACTTAAATCTACCCTTCAGTAGGTGGCATGATTTTATTTTCTTTTGTGTCCTGCTACGAAGTAAGATATGTTTGCATGAAAAATCAAGAGGTTCTTTCTAACTAATCTTTGAAGCTACTCGTTTAATTTATTGGGATTTTTTTACATATAAAGTAATTTTTGGGCGATTTTTATGATCAAAAAGGAAATATTTTCCAAGTAAAGTGATAAATAGAGTATTTTCTTATCTTTATAGTGACTGTATTCATTGACGTAATGTCTTTCATGAGATGATGCTGAGTGCTTTATAAAGCAAGCCTCCCTAAAAGCAGCAGCAGACCACAGAATGAAAAGATGTTCCAAAAATGATCCCAGACCGTAAGCACTGACATAGTAGTAAAGCCTGTTGCATGAATATCGAAGCTGTTTTTCTGCTTTCACTAAGCAAGATGTGTATTTTGAAGGTGGGTGAAATAATGTAGACCAAGTTTACACCCTACTTGTTCTTTTTTTTTTTTTTTTTAAATAATCAGTGTTAGGACCTAATGTGAGGTGCCATGGATCACAATATCAACATCATTTCTATCGCTCTCACAAGTAAGACTTTGCCTTCAATAAAGGGTTAGGAGGGAACTGAAAAGATGGTGAGACATCCAATAGCAAACCAGTGTTTTTCAGTAACTCTCCATAAGAGAAACACATACGATCATAAAATAAATTATTCTACAGTAGAATCATACTGTCATAGACTACTGCAGCTCTGTGTTCTGACCTTCTAGGTGATCTTCTAAAATTAACACAGTTCTTTGGCTATGTTTTTCCAAACACATACACAAAGTATTTTTTCATAATTACACAGTCCTCAATGTAATTTTAGAAATTGCCAATGTTCTCTTGCTTCTGAAAAGTGAAGTGTAAACCAAAATCCCCTTTTTGTCCTTGGGTAGATAGTTCATATTTAGATGCTGTGTTGAATTTGAATTCTGGTGGAAGTTTAAATATTGGACTATGTTATACTCGCATATCAGGGCTTTCATGTTCTGATGCAGACACAGTGGAGTCCTTTCTGAGCTTCTAGTCATTGACGCTGTGTGTATTTACCTTTTATTTCCCATCACCTAAGACCGAGGTTGTAAAATTCGCATGATCTTCCTATTTGCTTTTTTAAGTAGCTGTGCTATCCCATTTTGCTCTTTGCCAACACAATACAGTTTCTTCTTTTAATATCGTTGGTCATAATTAGTTGTATCTCTTGATACTGGCTCATTGTAGTGGAGAGGAGACACAAGTAGCTTTTCCTTCAAAGCGAGGGTGTTGCAGAGAAAAAAAAAGTGTATTGCCATCTGGTAAAATGTTCTGGTTTTGGACAATTCATACTATCTTTGAGACATAGTATCATCCACCTAATGCTTTCCTTGCTGTCTGTTGAAAAGAATGGTGGGAAAAATTACTAGAAATGTTTAATATTCTTTTCCATATTGAGAATTGTACATAAACTTCAGAAGCTTTGTGCAGCACAAAAATTAGCAATAATTGAAACAAATTATTAATTCATCTGCTCAGTGCTAAGGCCCGGACAGTATCTTTCTTCCAAATTAAATTGCAACATGAGATGAAAAGTTGCATTTGAATTCTTCCTTCCTCTGCTCTTGCAAAATAGTGCGGTGCTAAAGAAGATCAGGTTTTTACTATACTGAAAAGATCTTAATGCTATTAAAAGAGCGATGTCCATTAGCTTTGGGGCAGTAGGAGATATGATGGGATTTGGTCTATTAATTATTTACTTGCTGTTGTGATGTTTCAAGTGGTGTTTTTTTATTTAACGTATGAAATTATGTATGTTCTCTAGAAGTAAGTTTGTGCATCTATGACAAGTATAGAAGGAAGCACAGGGAAGGAAGCAGTTTTCAGGATGTTTGCAGAAGTTGTTCTGTGAAATGGAGATCTTGTTCTCAATGTTTCTGGAGAATAGCATTTAATGACAAAAATATGCTTTGCTGTCAGGAATAGTAGCATCTTAGCAATAAAGTAAAATTAAAGTAGCTTAAAATGCCTTTTCTAAATTGTGGTGATATGAAGGGTGGCAGAATAAAACTGGAAGTAAGTTGAATCCCCACCTACTTGTACTTCAGATTAAACATTCCAGTTACATACTGTTGTTTGGCGCACGTCAAAAGTTGAAAATCTCATCTAGCTATAAAGGGAGGAAAAAACAATAACCCACCAATACCTCTTTTTCTTCAAGATGTGGATTTACATTCACACACCGTGTTCGTCATAGAGTGAAAACCTCAACAGCATACAGATCGTAGCCTGTCTTTAGTTTTTCCCCTTGTGAGTAGTCACAAAAGCATAAAAATTTTTGCAGGATTAGCACCAGCAAAAAAGTTTTGACAAATATAGAACCATGATAGTATCTAAGAAAATCTTGTATTTGTGAATACACCTTCTGTTGGAATTAATTTTCCTCTCTCCTCTTTAACCAGCAAGATACACTACACAACACAGGAGCATTCATTGAAGTTTTCACTAGAATTTTATTTCCTTAACATACGGATAAATTGATTAATGAAATGTTTTAATTGTCTAATCCAATACAGGCCTTTTACGCTTCTCTCCTCGAAATAAAAGGTTGGATGAACTCTAGGGTTTCTGAAAGAATTAAGAATTAAAGTTGCTGGACTCCAACTACAGTGTTTGCCAAGTGGAAGTAAACCAGTATTAATGTGTTCTGAGATCCACGTGGAGTCTAAACAATTTTTACTCCACTGCAGTGACTTTTATTATGTTTTTCTTTTATTTCAATTTATTTATTAGCATTCCATATGATACTTGTTTGTGGTTCAATATTGTTTAGATTTTAAGCTGTTTATGTTGCATTTTTATGCTGTTTTAGTTAACTACTATGTCTCCTTAACCAAATGGTAGTTTATTTCATAGAACAATGTCACTCTTGCCTGTCTCTCTCTGTACATGTCATTTGCTATATTTATTGCTGTTTCAGGCACTTAAATAATTTGTAAATTCTTTCATCAGAAAAAAAAGGTGTCTTTCTACAAACGGGCACAAATACTTGTGGCTGATACATGGAGTGTATTAGAAGGCAAAGGAGATGGCTCTTTTGATGATATTTCTACTCTGACTATATTTGCTGACTACAGAATTCCTCAAGTTCTTGTTCACTTAAAAGCCATGAAGTATTCTGAAGAACTGATGAAGAAACTACGTGAAGGTTTGTTCCTTCCTTACTAATACCACATAATCTTACCTCTTGCCATTGTAGACTAAAACTACTTCTAAGATGGAGTGGTTTGCCCATGTAAGGGTTATGTGTATGTGTTTTGGTTTGGTTTTTGTTTGTTTTTTTTTTTTCCTCCAGGGAACAAGGACTTCTTATGTAGTGATGAGGTAACAGGACGGAACTTACTCTCTAACAGTGATGTTGAATGAGATCTTAAGGTTATGTTTTCATAAAGATCTAGCAGTTCCTTGGATTAAACATTGGTAAGGGAAGGATTAAAGACACCCTAAGCCAGTTGATCTCCAAGTTTCTGAAGGGCTGCTGTTGCCAAAACCACGTTTCAGCATGAGTATAGTTGTGATTTTTGAGGTTTAGATAAAAGAAGCAACGATTTCTTTGTTAATTTAGAGATGATGTAAGAGCATGAGGATGCCTCGTTATCTGTACTGAACTGCTTGTGGCAAGCAAGGTAATATTATAAGCATCCATTAAAAAAAATTGCTTTAAATGAAGTTAATTGAATAAGACTAGAATCTAATTTTTAAGCATGGTTCCATTTTCCAGCACTTATTAACCATGAACTTCAGTGAATAAAAACATAAACTAATCCCTTTTCCACTATAGAATTACTGTATTTGGAGGTAGGACTGCTATGATGCAATTTTAAATTACACAGTAGGATAAATGGATGAATGCAGTCATCCATGGATCTTAATAGAATAGCTGTGTATCTCTGTGTGCCTGTATGTATATGTTAAATAGATCATGTAGATAATTTATCTTTTCCATGGATCCTAGTAAGGACATTCCCATTCAAGTCATTCAAACAAATGAATCCATAGATTTTTTTTATATATATATATATATGGTTTTAAGATTTTTTTTGGTTGGGGGGGGCTTTTTTTTTTTCTTTTTAAATCTTAGTATATTTTCTGCCAGGATAACGCTGTCTTGGAATTATGTTTGACTATCCTTTTTGTCTCCACAAGCAAAGAAATAGTAATGTAATGTGCAGTATAACCCAAACACCTGCTCTTTTCTTAAAACAGCTGTTCTTTGGAATACTGGATGTTTTAATTGAATGGGGGTAAACTTATAAGTGCATGTAGTGAGATTAAAGCAATCTTAGAAAATGCATAGCAACAGTGTTAGCAGTTGTAAGGCCTTAAAACTGCAGTCTTAGAATGTTGCGGGTAAAAAAGAAAAGAAAAAAAAGGCAAATTGAGGAATTCAGGCTATCCTGGGGCTTCTGTCTCTTCAACATAATTGGATTGCTTTCTCTTGTGTCCTGCAGGAACAGTTTTCCAGTCTGGAGATAAAGAGGAGGTGGAGATCCGTGGCTGTTCTATTTGGTGTTGTGCGTTGATTTGCAAGCACCTGCTGGAGCTCTATGAGAAGAAGGGTCAGGACATGCGTGAAAAGATCAATGCGGTTTTACTCGATTATTATCTTTGGGACTATGCCAGGGATCACAGGGAAGAGATGAAAGATACTCCGTTTCACCGAGTACGGTGTATATATTACTAAGGCCAGTCTGATAACGCATCAATACAACAGCTGTCTTCTAAATTGCAGTTACGCTTTTGACATGGTGGTTTGTCATGTATTAATTGGGCACTAGCAAAATCAAATGCTCATTTTCTGATGATGTGCTAACAACTTGCTGTTTTTTCTTTGAATATCTCACTTGGCATGACTGGAATTAACAGTGTGAACTTTGCCAAAGAAGTCACGTTAATTCAAGGCTTACGAATACTCCTGTATTTGTGTACGTACATGTATTTGCACACGTATGCGTGCGTAGGGGCCTACCTTCGCCCTCCAGGCAGGCGTGCCATGCCTGCAACTGCCTCGTCTGTCCCTTGTATTCAGCAAACACTCGCCTGTCATGGCCGCGCTTGACAACAGCTCAACTATTGTGTCCATTGAATAAACAGTGCTGTGACATAAACCGCACGGGCCGCGTACGCGTTTTCATTAGTGTGCAGAGCGTGAGGCAACGCCGGCGTCAGCCACGCGGGGGCGTGCCC